AAAAAAAGAAAAAAAAAAGAAAAAAAGTATATATACATATTTAAATTGTAGCTATTTAAATTAGCTGTGGTGGCCACCTTGGGTTATTTTCTTTTTTAATGGCTGAATGTATGCCTTGTGTAAATTTATATTATCAGTTAGCCCAAACTGGGACTATCTATCATTTTTGGCTATACCTCAACAAATTTCAGCTCAATATATTTAAAAACATTTGAATCAGTCATTGGCATGAAATCGGCTGTGACGGCCATCTTGGGTATTTTTCTTTACTTATATGTGGCCCCCTAAATAATACCTTTGCCACCTTTGTGCCACCTCTCGCAAAAAAGTCTAGCTCCACCCGTGTTCATCACAAAGCTTTTTTAAATGGTTCAATGATTATGGAAATAAATAAATGAAAAATGGGAGAATCTCATTTGAACTCCACTTTAATTAACACATGATTGACTAAGTTGATATTTCTTGCTGGCATCTGTTTTTACAAATTAAAATCATCAAGATTAAAACTGTTACAGAAAAGTTGTGGTGAACAACAAAAAAATCTAATTATATGGTAAAAGAAAAACAAGTAATTATCCCACCATCCAAAACCAATCAATGCTTCCATTTTTCTTTTCCTACTTCCAAGCAGTCGGGTTTCCAACGCATCCAGAGTAAAACAAACACAGTGGTTAACTTTTGTGTGTGTCTTACGCACCGTGGGGATAAAATACTTCCAATTGTTTCTGCATGTGCACAAACACACATAGGCTATGGTTACACAAGGAATAACTAGTGATGCACTTACGCTCCAATATTGGGTGTATACATTACTGAAGATTACTTTTATTCATTCTGTTGAGTTAGAGAGAACTCTTTGACACAAAATCAAATAAAAAAGTAAAATAAAATACTTGTAACCAGCTGCTACAAACCTGACAGTATTAATGAAAAAGGCACCTGCAGTTAATTTTAAAGATTTTTTTTCTGTTTTGCCTTGAATATATTATTAAGAAATTATTGATGAAACTGGAAAATTATTTTTCTGGCACTCATGCACACATGCGCACTTAGATGTGTGCGCAGAGGGGTGTGAATGGGGGTGGGAGCTTCTTTGTTGTTGCACAAAGGGGGCATCTGAGGACAAAAAGCACAGTTTCACTGAACTAACATACACCTGATCGAGACGTAGTTGTGTTTTGTTAGGATTTATCTCCTTCAGAGTTTTCTTCTTTTGACATAATCTTGATTTTTTTTAGATGCTTTTTAATAATCAAGATATTCAACACATCTTATTGTGAAACAAAAACGGCAGGAAGTGATGCCATTAAACATATTTAAAAGGGACGCTCATTATAGTAAATATTGTTCAACCAATCCTAAAATGTATAAATTGGATTTTGTTAAAGGAAAAGAAAAAAGCTTGGAATTTAGACACAGGGATAAAAGACTGTTCACTAGAGTGTGTCTGGTGGATTATACTTACTTCATGATCAAAATGTAGACAAAATACATCAGAATCAGTGTGAGAGCTTCCCACCTACAAAACAATCATGTGTTTCTATGATTTGATGTTGCCAGGAAATAAATAATGTGAGGGTTAATAAATCTGAGAACAACGCTGAAATAATCAGTACTTCACTTACCAAACCACTTTTTCATCATATATGAACTGTGATGTGGAGGAGAGAAGGGAAAACCCCAGAGTTAGTGTTGACTTCACTCAGACGTTCTGATTAGTTTTAGTTAGTACAAGAAAAATCACAGCTGGGTGAGAAAGCAGTGGTTGTTACAGATCAGGGGGTATTCATGCTTCTGGTGGATCTTTAAGGTATTTGGAATAGTGTTAAATGCTGCTTACCACAATAAGAGCAGAGATGGACAGGGTGTAGTAGATAGAGTCTCTGAGCAGAGGCCAGCGGGACAGTCGGATGGTCTGAGACACAAAAAGACCTGATTTAACTTGCAGACAGTGAAGTGGACAACTAAACACATTCCTCGCTGCTCTGAATGAACAACACATCAGCTCTGACTGGTTTGGTGATATGCATGAAGCCAAAGTACAGCAAGAAAATGAAACTTTCAAAGCAAGTTGCACAACACAGTTTAGTTTAAAGGGAATCATAGCATTAGATACTGTTTGATAAAAATTACTTTAACTATATAAAAAATACTGTATAAATGTTAAATTGTTATAAATAAGAGAAATTTATTGTCACATGGACGTGGCCATGTTATTTACCCCGAAAAGCATTCTTGTTAATGGTCCTCTGGTGCAATAACGACACTTACAAGGAGCGCTGTCCATTTTGAACATTAATTTTGAACAATGTCTGAGGATCAGTCCTTTTAAATTAAACCAGAGTTGACAGAGAGGACGATGTAGAAACGAGTCAGCCTGCAACTGAAAATGCTTTAGCTTTCACCTTAGCTCCCAAGCTTTTATCTATACTTGGCACAAAACGCAAGGAAATTTGTGTTTGGTAAATTTTTTCTTGGTTGTAACAATGGTTCTTGGCAATAAATCTTATACCGTTGAAAAGTCTTTTTGTTTCTCTTTTAAATGGTGCCACATTTGTAAGGAACATGCATTTGTGAGATGAGCAGTAGAGCTGAATATGTGGGTTGTGCACAGGAAACATTTGTCAAAGCTTCTCCACAAAACAGCTTATTTTGCTGTTGCTATTGACACTTGTTTTTAGCTCCTGGCTTCCCCAGGTGCTACCAATCAGAAATAAGATTAAGTACAAGATGTATTGCCATGAACATTGTTACAACAAAGAAATGATCTATCAAACACATTACTGTATTTATTCGCGTATAATACGATCTCATGTATAATACGACCAACCCAATTTTGTCTTAAAAAGCATAAAAATTTTAATTCTCATACTACCTCCAATTTCATATGGACTTCAGGATTTTTCAACCTTTTTCAGTCTTTAGATATATATATA